CTCACTTGACAGTGTTTCGCTTATCTGCAATCGTATAATTTGCACTCCTACTTGTTTAACTGATAATTTGATCATCAATTCAGAAAAAGACTAGATTACATAATTGTTCAATATTCATCTTTATTTTTATTCTTGTAATACTTCACTGAAATTCACGACATAGCGTGACTGTCAGTCACCCAAGGTCTTCAGTTAACATCCACTTCACTTCCGACTGGTTAACCCCACAAGTCAGGGCTTCTCATTGGAGCTTCCTGATATCCATCTTGAAGCAAGTCACTAATGAGCAATATACAGTAATGTATTTTTGAGATGAATAGGGATTTTTAATTTAAAAGTAGTATTCATCATGAACTGACATCAGTTGGGGGAACTATTGAGAAGCTGGGATATCACGAAGCTCTAATGAGAAGCGGTGACCAGTGGCGTCAACTAGTTGGAAGTGAAGTGGATGGTAACTAGAGACCTTGGGTGACAGTCGCACTATGTCGTGAATTGACAGAAGTTCGAAATTGTGAACCACTGGGAACTCACCCAGTGGTTGGATGGTTAACGCGTTCGCGGTGAATTTTGAAGGTCCTGAGTTCGATCCCTGCCTAGTGGGGTCGTGGGTGCCTACTGCCGAGGAGTCCCATACTAGGACGAAACAGCTGTCTAGTGCTCTCAGATTTTCAATGGTTCCATAACTGATGTCAGTCCATGATGAATACTACTTCTAAATTAAAAATCTCCATTCATCTCAAAAATATTTAATAGTCAACATTCAGATCTAAAAAGAAAAATAACCTGAACTTACCGATGATTAGGTTTAAGGCAAAAATAAATAGTGGAAGGATCTGTCATTTTGTGGGATGATTCTATCTGATGTGTACTTTGAGGTCGACAATTGCAGTTTCGGTTCTCTCGAACAATCGAATTGGATAAAAAAATTTCACAATCAAGCGTGTTATCAAACAATTTTAATGAAAATTATTAGATCCTCCTCTATATGGGGCTATGGTTCACTGATTTAGACACTAGACTACTGACTGTTAAGTCACAGGTTCGAACCCCGCTTCACTTAATTAGGTTCAGGAAGTCAGGTAGTATCGTCAATTGTCATATAACAGGTCTAGTTCAGTAAGTGGTGCATGTACGTCTACAGGGTTGACGAATGCAGTTGGATTCGGTTTAGAATACTATCCTTCCAACATAGGACACCTCCTTGGTGAATATGGCTGATTTGCTTGACAGTTTCAACAGTGCTGACCATCTACCTTCTCTTGAATAGTACAAAGTCAACAGCTACTGATAAAAGAGATGAGTAGTTACTTACTAAAAAATCATACTTTTTAGTGAGGCCACTAGTGACTAGACTACTTTGTTGAGATGAAACTAAGGTCTAATTGATGTCTAACTCGTGTAGCTCACCCACTAAAGCATATGTTTAGTTGATTCAAAGCTGGTTTTTGCAATCCTATGACAAAGGTAGGTTGTCTTTCGGTTCAATTCAGCATTCTTGTATGCATAATCAGTGCGTTGGCGGAATTTTGAATGCAAGGAAATGCGTAAACATCCTGATTGTGAATATGTGCTTAGAGTAATTATACTGACATACGTAGTATAAGGTGTCACATAAATTTGGTATTTTAATCAATGAAACAAGCAATAAATGCAATTGAATATATAAATTTCAGTAGGACTCGTCAGCTGTTTACTCTACATACGTGATTTTATATACTGTTAAACAATAAAGGAATACATACATACATAATACAGCAGGATAAGACATTGACTGAGGCATGGCAACACGAAGTGAATCATTTACTTATACTGGGTGATGATTAATGGTGAAATGAAAATTTGGCCCTTGACTGGATTCGAACCAGCGACCATCGGGTTTCCGGCCCGATACTCTACCTATTGAACTACGAGGTCCTGATGGTCCCTGGTTCGAATCGGCCACGGTCCGGATTTTCATTTCACCTTCAATCATCACCTCTTATAAATACTAGTCTGCCAAACTACGGCTATCTCAGATACAATGATAGTCATTTACTTGTGTCAAACAGAGCTAAGATTAGGTTGGGAAGGGGTAATGAATTGATAATGGAAAATAAAATGACAACGGATGAATTACATCATTTGGAACAGAACAACTAGTCGTCAATTAGGGAGCTTGATAAAGGCCCACACTAAGAGAATATAGGTGTTAGGTAAACAAGAGTATTGACTATAATAGTGATAATACGAGTGAGTGATAATGATAACAATGAGAATATGAATATTGAAAACACTAAATATTACATCATTCTGAAGCAAGGTAGATGAACATCAATTAAGAAGCTGGGTAATAGCTTAAAACTAAAGGAGGCTAGAGTTAGACAATAATAGTGATAATGACAATGACTGCTAAGCGGAAAAGCTCAAGAGGACATGATAACACACCAGATTGATAGTGAAGAGGTAAATATGTGAAGTATAGGAAGAAATGAAATGGAAAAACAAGACACTAATAAAAGTAAATAAGTTCGGAATACTTCGACACCGTTACTATGGTAGATTCAGAGTGACTGCAATCTTTCTGTACACATAGACTCGCAAATGCAAGCATTTGCTCATTCCGCTGTCTGCTGACAATCGAGAAGGTTTTATTAGCGTCAACGTCATGTTGATAATCCATTAGGTGTTACATAAACGAACTTCGCGGGATTTTTGATTCGGCTTGCTTCAACCATTTACGTAAATGCTCAATTATGCGAGTAGACAGACGCCCTTCCATATGACCTATATATTTGCTTCCACGAGTAAGTTCGAATTGGTGTATACAATTGGATGTGTCGAGGATTGGAGTCATGTCTTTTCCTGATTGCTACAATACCCTCCTGGTGGTTCTCACAAGTACCAGCTTCACTGAATAATAAGTTCTTTTGGTGGCTTTGTCTAACCTCCGCTTAACTACTTCTAAGACATCGTCTCCTTTAAAAGGTAGCTTAATAAATATTATTTTGGAGCCGTGAGAACTACTGTTTTACATTGTCTACTTTTCGAATACTTAGTAGTAGTAACAGATACACTTCTGAAATGACAACACCGAAATAATGTACTGATGATCATGTAAAAGAGCCTGATTTAGTCGACAAGCTTGTAGTAATCCGCTGTAGAAGATAAGAACAATGCTACTAGATAATATTCTAAACGTGATTTCGTATTACCTGTTGTTTTGATTATGTAGTGTAGAACAGCTAAACAGATCTATTTTGTACAAGGATATTTTCATTTCTTATTCATAGAGCAGAGTATTTTATCTGCTTAAAGGTGTTTTGTTTCTTTTCCAACGTCTGTTTTCCATCTCATGGAAGAGGATTCAGTTCTTTCGATGTTTATATTCCCTTGATAATCTCTTTTCTCTTCAATAGTTTAGTAATGTGATAATATATGCGGGTTATAACGACTTGAAAACACTAAATTATGAAAACTGAACTAAGACTACAAAAACGACTTTGTATATCTCGACTCAGTGGCTTACTAGTGTTTGAAGATATCGGTCCCGAGTTCGAGTTTTCGGTGGGAAGAACACCGCTCACTGGGAGGCAGGTGTATCCAACTGACGAGTACCTAAATAGGGCGAAACATGCATCCTGGATTTCACTGCTAGCCGCTATCCCTCATTACTATAAAATTGTATCACTGACTAGTTTTTTTCTAATTGACCCGGTGAAATTTCAAAAACTAAAAATATGAAACTGGAAGACATCTACTTCAAAGACCAATGATATCAAGTACTAATGTTTATTTAAGCCATTTTTCATTCGCTGAATTTAACTGAGAAACGCCTATACCAATCCATCGTGATTATTCCTATTCTTGAAAAATGATGTAATACAATACTGAGCTTAAGTTTAGATGGGAAACCTAATGATTATGATCATATGTATAGCTTTAATTCGTGCTGCGTTGAAAATTAATTTTTCAGTACAAAACGTTGATCACGTTCATGACTTAGTCAGTTACTTCTGTTCATTGACCTTTGCTATTCACTACCGTGTTGTTATAAAACGAAAGGAGTATAATTGATTCGAAGATTGTATACATCTCAGACTGAAACTAGTCAAATATTGATTAAAAAAACAGGTTAGATTTTTGGTGATGGTGTAAATTTCTCGACAAGTTTAATCTATACAGGGTTGAATGCAAGATTTTCGGGGTTTTTTTTTAATGGTTGGAGAAGCCAAAATCCAACAGCTGAATGATTTTATAATATAACTTGACTATGTTTTAGTTCAATCTGTTGACATCCGTTTCCACTATAGGTAAACTTCACCCTACCTTGAATTCAATCGTTAAATAAACTGCCTCATCTATACTTGAGATTCGTGTAGTTGACACTTCTATACATCATAGTTCCATGATGATAATTCTCTTCAAGTTGATCAGTTACCACCTACACACCAATAAGCCAATTCAGAGAGAGTATCAGCTTGCAAATTTTATCTCAGATATCAGGATTAATGGAGTTATCAAGTTGAGGAGGTTCAGAAGACTTTGTGTTCGAATAATCTCTGTTTCTGGCGTTGTAAGCGTACGTAGTATCCACGCTCAGAGTAGTGTACGCATTGCAATGATGGATGGTGTTGTTCAATGAATATTCCCATGGAATGTTTTGTACTCATCTTTTCGACAGTTTTCATGTCTATGTATCACTTATCGACAAATACACTGAATAGATGACGTCAGTTAAACAAAGTGGCACTGTACGATGAGGTATAATTCTTGTTAGACTAATGTATGTTGATGGATCTGAGCGTTTTTGTTCACAACATAACTAGTTGGTATGCGAAATGAGCAGATATAACTCAGAGTCTAAGCCACTGAGAATCTTGTTTCAACTTTGATTTTTCATTACTAACAATATGGTACACATTCTTGTTGACAATTTTTCTCTTTTATGGGCTAGTCAGTTTAAAAGTATAATTTTTTAAATACTTCCGAAATAAAAAATATTTTTTTAACTTTTACAGCGTCTGATATGCTACCGAAACGACTTGGTCTCTTCACCTCCGATCAAGTTTGGCGTAATCGCAACGATACACTGACTGCCAATAATACACCAACACTGACAATGAAACCTTTCCCAGATACACCACCAATAAAACCTCAACTGACAGATCAATCAAGTTTTAATGGGAAATTAGTGAGTTATTCAATTGATTATGTTTCTTTAAAGGAAAATATTGTTTTTTTAGGTCAGTATTTCGAAGCTATTTTTGTAAATTTTTATTGCCCAACAAATAGAAAACTAAACGGTAGGATTCGAAACAACGATCTCTGGATTCGAGTCTCACGGAGATTCGAATTCACATTTCACCTTCAATTTATACTAGGTGATGATTGAAGGTGAAATAAAAATTCAGACTGTGACCGGATTCGAACCAGCAACCACTGGGTTTCCAACTCGATGCTCTACCAATTACTGGTCTGTAACATCAGTACCAATCTAATCAACCAAGGATATCTTATCTAGTTTCAATGATAATTTCAATGTTGGCAAAGTCTACTCTGGGATAAATAATATCATACTGTGCCCTAGAACTATGAATAAAGTGTTTCTTTAAGCTTTTCGAGCTCTAGTAAATTCTTAGCGTGGTAGGATTTCTGTTTAGCCTATTAGGATTTTAGAATTCCTAAATATGAAATTTTTTTCAACGCTAATTTTAAGTAAACATAAGAGATAAAAAACTTTGTCTATGCTCAGTATTGTTGATGCATTAGAGAGCATTTATGAAATAAGGTAGTGAAAGTAGGTTGTGAGAAGGATCATCTTCACAGGAAACTATAAGTTACATCTGTCAGTTCGAGAAGGTATTTTTTAGGTTTCACGCTTGACTCACTAACTCCTTCACAGGATCTTTATGCACTGTATAGGTATTCTAGAAGATAGAGAAGCGAAGTCAACTACTTGTTTACTTATGAATATGTATTCTCAAACTGATTCCAGTCGGCGCTGAATACCATCTTTAAAAAAATAATAAAAAGCGAATAAACTTCAAACTAAGTTATAACTGTATAGTGGTAATTACTGACTTGCTTTTAGATGGATGTCCTGAAGTTCTAATGAGAAACCATGACTTGTTGGGTCCTGAGTTTGACCCCTAACCCTAATGAGCGAAATCCATGTATTTCAGTCTGAACGCAAGAATCACTTCAGTCGAGACAATCTAACACGATCCAGGCAACTTACTGCATTCTACTATATAGTTCCTCAAACTACTATGAGTCAATAACAGTTAAAGATAATATTTTAACAATATCAAAACACGATTTGATGTGATAAATCCGTGATAGATTTGTGGCATTCAGTTGAAAACATTCTCTGGCACAAATACGTACTATACAGCGAAAAATTGTTTCACTGAATACAATTATTAAGTACCTAAGAGTCAATAAAAATATTCCCAAGAAAATGGGATCAAAACTCTGTCTACAAGAAGCGAATGAATCAATAAACGTTTCCAGTAAGCAGTCACTTCACAGAGCAATCTTGAGCCAAAACAAAATGTTGGGAACAGTAAAACAACGCCATGTTGTCAGCAGTACGACATCGTACAATAACAAAGTGAAGTATTAACAATGATAAGTCTCAATCAAAACAAAGACAAATAATGAATGCTAAGTCAGAGAACAAGGAAAGAAAGGTACCTGCAGATTAAAAGAAGGGCTACCTTGTCAAACTCTCGAAGAAGGAAGACCTAAGTCTTTCCGAGGACTGGCGTGGAATCATGCTCCACTCCTGTCCATCGCAAGCAAAATATTATGCTGCATCATCCTGAAGAGACTAAAGGATGCACTGGATTCAAAATTATGACCAGAACAAGCTGGCTTCAGAGTGAACGAATCATGTGCGGATCAAATTGCAACGCAACGCAACGCATCATCATAGAACAAAGTATAGAATGGCAGTCAACTCAACCTCAACTTCATCAACTTTGAAAAGGCCTTCGATAGCGTCGATCGAGAAGTAATTTGGCAGTTGCTTCATTACTACGGATCCACAATGGAAAGGTGAGTGATGCCTTTGAAGCGAAGACAAGAGTAAGACAAGACTGCCTACTATCACCCATGATCTTCCTGATTGTGGCGGACTGGATCATGCAGCAAACCGTGAGGAGCGAGATGGGCAAACGCTGGCTGGACCGATGAGCTGATTGTTTTTCTCGACAATACCAATAACACCAGAGTCAGTGTTGGAGTCTAGTTGGATTCTTCTTCCTAAGGCCTCATTCCTCTAAGATTACACCACTCAAGGTTTTTCATATCCGTTAATCAAAATTCTCTAATCGAACTCATGCAGCTATATAAAGGCTTATAGAGAGCTTTCATCTGAATTGATGACAACTAGTAGTGTCCACCACTGACGCCTGGCATCCGTTATCGGTGTACTAATGGACATATTCCCAGGTACATCTGTTCTAATTGATCTACCCCGTGGAGGGGATCTGGTTGACTTGGAATACGGAGACGATGTTGTCCTGCTTAATCTTGACGCTGAGAAAGTTTAGGGTCTTCCGAATGCATTGAGCAGAAGTCTAAGTGTGTTTGGCATTCGTCTCTCACCTGTCAAATGTAACATGATGTCACACGACTGATCTGCAACTACTTCCAGTTTAATGATAATGAGTGAGGTGGTGGAATGTGTTGACCACTTCACTTACTCAAAGAGTTGCATCAGCCAGAACTGAGTGGTTGTTGATGAAGTCTTATCTTGGATAGAGAAAGCCCGTTTAGTATTTGCAAACTTGTGTTATCTGTGGCACTGATTGGCGAGATATTCTACTATCTATCAAAGAATGAGTATACTACTCTGCAGTTTGTTCTATCGTGTTATGTAGCTGTGAGAGAGATGGCCGCTGAAAGTAGAAGAAACGAGGAGAATACGGTTTTTTAACCATATGTATCTTCTTAACATTTCTCAGGTATGGTTGTGATTCACTGTGTGAGTATTATCGAGGTCAGGCGAAGAAATAGGGTAATCAGTTAATGAGGTTATGGAACTTCATCTACTTTAGAGGCTTGGGCATGTGTTGCCCATGCTGAGTCCGTGTCTACCTTGCCATGCTAAGGATAGTTGGATGGTTTTGGAAGAAGGCTGAGCGTGGGCTGACTAACAAATATCACTTATGCGTGAAGTTTCTGACTATTAATATTGAGCCGTTTAGATAGGTGTGGATTGCCTTTATGGGGTCCTTGAGATGACAAGAATAAATTGTTGGAGACTTACCTTTGGTAACATAGCTGAAAATTGGTCACAGTGACGCAGATGTATTTACTTCTTGACATCTAAACCTTGAACATATTCGATGACCTTGATTTTCAAATTCCTTTTCCTCCCATGCACATTCGTCTACTTTGATATCAGTCCTTCTCTATCCACTTGTTCTCTGTAGACAGCTCTGAAGTGTGGTAACTTGAACTGATGCACTTGTGTGCATCTACGTTGATTTTGTTTGTCTGTCTGTCATATCCTCCGTACAGAAAAAGTATAATCCAGGTGTATAGGTGTTAAGTTTTGGCATTGTGGTGGAATTTAATTCCATATTAGATTTGTTTACTTGATTTATAACACACAACGATATAGTATTATTTACTTGATGATGTTTCGAGCTTGAATTATTGCTCAAAACATCATCAATTAAATAATACTATATTGCTGTGTGTTATAGATCAAGTAAACAAATCTAATATGGAATAATAATTTAGGTGCTCTAGGAGTGCAAGGATAAAGTTCCAGGCTTATTCGCTACTTGAATATATTGACTTGAGTCTTTTATCTTACCTTCAAACTGAGTAGTTTGTCGACAGTCAAACAAAAACGCATATATATATATGAAACGCTAACAAATACTAATTATCAAGAAATTTTATCTATACTCCACGTGATACTGAATCATAGAAGAGAATAGTTTAATGGCGATCCTCTGTCTCTTGAAGAGAAAGATCGGGCGCCAGCAAGCACATAAACGTGGAATTTATCCATTGAAATCAGTAAGTATTTCTCACAGTAGTCGATAGTAGCCGCCTAAACTCGAATGTAGAGATCACCTCAGCGTTATAACTTGTTTCTTTATCAAGCAGATATATTGTTGTAGAAAGAAAACCCGACTGGTGCAGGACTCGAGATGGCAGCTTATGGGTAATGTCACAATCTTTTGCCAACCTAGTTTAGACACCTAACTGCTTACTAAGTTATCTCATTCATAAGGAATTTCAATCGGGTGTTATGTGAAGGGCTAGTAAGTAAGCATCTGCTCATCACCATACTATTAAATCAGTTGGTTTTTGTAACTACTAGCCCAATGAGCATTGGTTCAAGTTATGCCGCGACCAAGATTTTCTATCAACTTCAGTTCTCAGCTTCTCTCATAAAGATTAATTTGCTAAAGCAAATCTATACCAGTAATAGAAAGTTGCTTTTTTGACAGACTGAAGCCGCATAAACCTCAGAACCACAAGACACATCATCTTGGTTCATACCTGATGACTCTTTTTTATTTGTGATGTCATATACGATAAAGAATCGTTAACGTAATCATTCTTCGTACCATGTGCAGTCTGTCGCGAGGCTGAGTCGCTTGAATTTATAGTAACATCACTAAATTAGTAGATAGAACCTGATATGCGCCACTGAACTAGATGCCATGACGGAATGAGAAGATCAACGCTGAACCTCGTACATAGATGCACCGACTCAAGTTGCCACACTCTACAGTAGTATACAAAGAACAGATGGATCGAAAAAGAACGATATCAAAGTAGACAAAGTAATGTGACAGAGCATACCATCTGCACCATTGTGACCAATTCTTAGCCATGCCACTAACAGTTCTCAACCAATGATTCTTTTTTTTCTGAAGACCCGATCCAGGTCGTCTACTTCTTCCCACCCAACTCAAACCAACTGTCGAGGACTTCATGGACTGGTCCTAGGTCTTGGTCTGATCACTGTGAACCCTCTCCCAACCTAATCTGATATCCGCAGTGTGGCGCACTGACACAGGCGATAGCTCGACATGTGCAACTCAGTACATGTCCAAGCCATCTCAGTAGAATAAGGTTAACAACCTCATCAATCGGCTAGTCTGTCTTGCTGAGTACCCTTCACTTGACCTCAACACTGCTCGCACGGTAATTACGCTA